AGAGGGGTCTGAAAAGTGGCTAAATATAGCGACTAAAGCGCTAAGTTGGCAACACTGCTCTTTGCATGGTTTGTTTTCAATGGTTTGCTGCTGTCTGAAAATTGCAGCAGCTTTAAAGTTTTCTGAATGCTTCGTAAATCTTAAAATGATGAAAGGAACTTAAAAAAAATCGCTCATTAAGACAGTTTCTGGAAGCCTGAGTCAGCAAACAAGTTTTAATCGATAAGCTAAACAAATTTCATTAAAAAGTATATTTTCTGTTAGATCAAACCCACATTTCCCTCAAACTTGGTAGAATTTTATTCTGGGATTACATCACTACTCAGCATTTCTAGGGTCAGATTAAATCCCAGATTTTTAGTTTGCACAGTGAAATTAAAATATCAGCACCATCAGCTCTACTAAGGAATTTAAAAAGTAAAAGAATTTGATATCAGATATTCCGCTGCATAGAAAATATTCTAGAATGGAAGACGCCGCTAACATCTCAGACTGGTCTGAGGCAACAAGTAATATTTCTACAAAAGTCGGTAAAACTAGTTATTCTTTTTTTTCCTGAAATGAAAATGTTTCTGAAGATATAATCCAATTTATTGATTTAAACATGTTTATTGTTCTAATGTTCATCCATTTTCAGACATAGATTAAATACTAAAGATCAGACGTCTAGATGTGACCTTTGCTTGGGAAAAAGTCAAACATTTAACAGCATATTTTAATCTGTAATGTTTTAACTCGTCTAGCGAGGATCAGGCAGCCTGTTTCAGCAACTCCTGTTTTCATTAACCTCCGTTTGGAGAACGCAGCCAATCAGGAAGCTTCATCACTTCATTAACAAACCATCGATCAACCTTGAGATTAAGGCAATTCTGAAAGAAAAGAGATGTTTTAGATCAGTGCGGGGATGGGAAGAAGATGATGGAGGAACAGCTGCAGCAGAACAAAAAAACAAAAGATCTGATCCAGGATTTAACAGGTGATCAGCCCCCCCTGCTGTTACCTTCACCATTTTCACTGAATGACTACATCAAACCTCACAGCTCAAAACCATTGCCCCCCCCCCCCCACCACTCCAAAGGATAGCCAGAGGCTGGGAGAAGAACCTCTGTGGAAGACCTGTGGTGGTTCCAGGCTGGTAGCGCTGACCTC